TATGGGGGGTGGAAATGTTCTAACATGGGCATGGAAGGCTGCATGTCTGTGGATAGTCTGCCCTGCCCCATGGGGGAGACTCATTCATCTCGAGTTTTAAAAATCCCTTTGACTTTCATTATAGTTTTACACATACATGTCTCTAAATACATTCATTTGGGGTTGGGGGTTTAGCTCAGCGGCTTAAGTGCCTGCTTAGCAAACTCGAGGTTGTGAGTTCTATCCCCAGCACCAAAAAAGCCCATTAACTTGGTAAGTTTTGAACTTTCCATAAACGTATGTGACATGTATCTTTATGGCTTGCATTTTTCATTCAACATTGCATTCTTCTCCATTTTTATTTGCATCAGGACATGTGTGCAGCGCGGCATGCTTACACTCATCAGAGGAACTGGGCCACACACAGGACAGTCTCAACGCTTTTGCATCCCCGCTCCGCCTCTCAGTCCCCGGCCATGTCCTGTCATCGATCTTTATTTCTAGGAAAATGGATACACCGTGAGTCCATAGTGAAATAAATGGGACACAGGTGTAAACACCACGTTGCTTCTCCAGTGTGAGAATCCGAGTGTAAGTAAGGGCCCAAGTTTATAACAGGTATTGTGAAACAGGAAGAAAATGTTCCACTGGGGAGGGGGAAGGAAAGAAAGGAAAGTAAAAGTGAGAAAAGAAGGAAAACATGGAAACAAAGCTTTTGTAAACAGGGAGGGGAGGGGAATGGGAAAAAGTTACGGCTTGTACAGGTACCAACTGATGGTGAATGTGATCATTATGTATACCTAAAATGTACCAACAAAATCTGATTGAAAAAAGTAATACTCTTGCATTTCATATTTATTTAGAGACAAGATCACATTGTGTCATTCAGGCTGCCCTTGAACACACTTTTTAGCCCAAGGTGGCCTCAAACTTGCAAACCTGCCTCCGCCTCCCGAGTGCTGGGATTACAGGTGTTCAGTACCACACCTGGGTCTCAGCACTGTATTTCCAGGCTTCCTATTTAAACAGTTATTTAGTTCTGTGGTCTACTGAATAACCTCTAAATTGAATATGCTAAAACCTAACTCAGAGAGAGCTCTTGGGAAACACCTCATGCTAGATATTTGATGTTTCTGTATAGCTGAAAATAACATTTACATGCTTCTGTACCGGTTATTTCTAAATATGTTCTTTAGTATACTCGAACTGTAGGAGCTTTAGAAAAACAATTGCCACTTCCAAACTGTCTTCTGAACATTTGTTTCTGAACATGTGTGACAGGGCGGCAATCACATGCCCTGTGTTCTGCTCTTGAAACTCGGCATCACTTGCACATGTCCATGTAGTGACCTGGCCTGTACATCCCCAACTGGACACCGGTCAGCAGGTCAGCTCAGGAGATGTGAAACCAAGCCTCGGGCTCTGGGCTCCCAACCCCTCACGTGGGGTGGGTCACACTATCTACCTGGGGGCTCATCCATTCCAGCTGCCGTAGAAGAACTGCACAGACCGATGGCTCATACACAGCAGAGACTTATCACAGTGCTGGGGACGACAGGAAGCCCAAGGTCGACGTGCTGGCACAGTCAATGTCTGCGCAGGCCTCCAACTTGTTCATGAAGGTGCCCTTCTCACTGTGTCCTCCCGTGGTGGCAGGGGCCAGGCGGCACTTAGAGCTTCTTTTACAAAGACTCTCATGCCATGAATCACGTCCCAATGACCTGCCTAATCACACTGCTGACTCCATGTCAACATACAAATGAGGGTGGGGGGACACATAACATTCAGACCCCGGCAGGGGTCACCAAGAAGTGTTTCTACTGCAGCTGCCACCGCCAGTTTGCACGCTGATGTCTGAAGGTGTTTTTGGTCTTGTAAGCCAGCACCTGCTGATTTGGAGCCGCATCCTGGAATCCTCTGCTGAAGGGCAGTGAGGTCAAGTCCGGGCTCAGCAGGGGGAAGCTCCCTGATTTAGTACTAATGTCTCACCTTCCGGCACTGCAGCTCCTAACTGCAGGGAGATGATGTTAATGACTGCGGGGCAGAGCCAGAGTTCCACTTAGCATAACCTGCTAACTCCTCCAGGTGCTTCCAAGCTGGAGGGCTCCTTCCCATCGCCACACAGCTCCGATATGATGTATTTTCAAGAATGCATATTTATAATTGTCTTGAATTTATACCATGTTACATGCATAATCATATAAAAGCATATTTTAACATTTTCAAAGAGAAAATTATCTTTAAATTCCATTTTTGCTATTTCTGATTTTATTGCATTATGGCCCAGAAATGTGCTACAAGAAATTTTCATCCTTTTACAAAGAATATATTTTTATTTTCAGGATATGATTAAAGGTATTTATTTCTTTGCAAGTCCATTAACTCAGTTTTTTTAAAAAAAAATTTACTTTGTTACCACGTTTTTAGCCATACAGCTCAATTGTTTTGTCTTTTTAAAAATTTATTTATTTATTTTGTTACCTGGGACCAAATTCAAGACCTTGTGCTTGCCAGGCAGGCGCTAATGTCACTGAGCTAAATCCCCAGCCCTAAAAATTTATTTTTAATTGCTATAGAATATTTGTACTTATAGCATAAAGCATTATAATTCTGTGTGTGCATATAATATGTAATGACCAAATTGGGGTAACTAGCACTTTTATCTCCTTAAGTATGTATATGTTTAGATTTTTTGATAAGATTTTGGTGCAAAATGAGAGACGGAAAAAAGAGGCCTTTACTGCGGGCACAGGAGAGCTGCAGAAGAGACGCAGGCACCCGCTGAGGGAACAGAGGAGTGCAGGTGTCTTTATCACTGCTGGTCAGGGGTGGAGTTTGGGGCCGGGCAGGGGGCAGTGTTAGTGGTAGATTGGAGGCTACTTAGGAGGGTGTGGGAGCAGGGGCAGGAAGTCTACTTGGGTTGAGGGAAGAAGAAAAAGGAAGTCGGGTAAGTTGTTTCCGGCTCCTTCCCCATTTTGGATCGATGCCATGATGAACAGGTAGCATACACTAGGGAGGAATTATCAGTATTATCATTATTTTTCTCATGGCTGAGACAGAATACCCAACACCCAAAATTAAGGAGGAAAGGCTCACAGTTGTCAGAGATTTCAGCCCACAGTCAGTTGGCTCCAAAGCAGGATTGATCACATGACAGAACAGCATCACAGAGAAGGAACAGGCCCTAGCACGGCAGGCAGAAAGCAGCAGCAAGTACTGGCAGCACCCTGCCTTCCCTCTCTCCCTTTACTTCCATCCAGGGTGTGAGCCTATGGATCCGTGCCACTCGTACCAGGTGGGGCTTCCATTATCTACCCCCTCAATCTGGTATCACATTGCTAATCACACTCCGTAATCCAGCCACCTTCAAACTCCCTACCTATGAGTGCATGAGGCTTGGGGGGCACATCCAGATACCAGCTGCAACAGTTAGGGGCCTTTAAAATCTCCTCTAGTTATTTTTAAATGTAGAATTAATTGTTATAGACCACAGTGCTAGAACATTAGAACTATCTTCCCTCCTTTAACTGTATTTTGGTACCTATTACCCACTGTGTCTCTCTTAACCTCTATTCTGCTTTTTAAATGGCCCACCTGTCTTTTCCTTCTCTGTCCTATGTGCTAGATTCTATTATCTAATATCTGTTAGTTCAGACTGCTTTCAAGTCTTGGTAGCAGGAAATTTTACACTTGCTTTCAAATATAAAAAGTAGAATTAGGAAATGGGGCTGAAAAGACGGGTTGCTGAGGTTTATATTCTAAGGAGAAGCCCATGACCCGGTTTATATGGGAGCAGGGGAACACACAGCATATTCCACATTTTCATGAGGTCAGTCTGGATGCTGAGCACACAAAGGGAGGACTGCTGGGGGGATGGAGGAAATGGGGGACAGCCGGGATGCTATTTTGGACAGCACACCATCAAGATGGGAGGGTGGCTGAAACTAGCTGCAGTCAGGCAACCAGCGCATTAATGTGAAGTGACCAACAAGGAGTGTTTGAGCATTTCCCACCCTCATGAATCTACCTTACATCTCTGAGCCATTTGTAGTTCAGAAATCAAGGAGGGTTTTTGATTGACCTGCTCCTATCTTCTATTTTACTGTTTTAAATAATGGGAAATAGGTTCTCCTTAGTTTTTTTTTTTTTCCTTGAGAAAGTCTAACATTTCAGGTGCAGTTATTAATGTAGATGTCTTCTAGTCTTGCGTTACTTTTAAAACTTTAATTATCACCTTGTAAATTACTTCACTTTACCCCCAAAACTGATGCTCCAGAAGGATGTATCGCCAGGACTGTGGTGTCCTGCAGCCTTTGGGCTATGAATTCTCCAGTTTAAGAAAAATGTAACAATGGAGTACAGGGAGTTCATCAGAAAAGCTCATAGATTTATCACTTTAACCCTCAAGGGAATATTTTTAAAAGGAAAGTTTAAAGTGGTTTGGAAAGAATCCTATTATAGGGCAGAAACGCAGGCGGTGCATCACCTTTGTACACACATTTCCTAGCACCCTGGGAGAGACTAGCATGGCCTAGGTCCGTTGGTGTGACATCAATGGTGACCAAGAGGTCCACGCGGAATGGTGAGGTCCCGCGAGCCAGTGCCTGCCTGGAGTGGGAAAAGCAAGTGCGGCTTTTTTCGGCTGCACTGTCCCCCGCCGTGTCCTCGTCCTGTTCACGACAGTGGCAGGGGTCCGTCCCCATGGGAGCGCGGCCCAGGACCCGCCGCTCAGCCCCAGGTCCCCGAGTCCTGCGAGGGCATTCAGCAGCTCCGAGCTGAAGGGCAGGAAGGCCACGCCAAGTCCTCAAGGACCGAGTATTTACACTATGGACAGTGAAGGTACGGTTTCAGGCACCGCTGGACGAGGCGCTTCAGTTTGAGGCTGCAGTCACAGCAATTCCGGATACACGGAACCACCAACCTCCCCATTACCCAGGCCAACTGGAACGCGGGCGGCCGCATTGCGCATGCCCTGGGAGAAGAGGCGGGGTAGGGGCGGGGCGAAGGGGAAGGGGCGGGGTGCGCCGAGCTCTCGGAGGGGCGGGACACACGGAATCACCACAAGCATGGCCACGCTGCGCGGGCTGCTAGAGACACCGCGGCACTTACTAGTCTGTGAGAAGTCCAACTTCGGCCACGGCAAGTCACGCCACCGGCAGCTAGTGGAGACGCACTATCACAATTACAAGGTGAGTCAGGCCGCACTCCATCCTCGCGGGCGAGCGAGGTTGGGGCATCGTCCTCAGCTTCTGCAGGCAGGAACCTCTTAGTGCATGGATGGGCGGGACTGGAGGCGGGCCCTCGCTGAGCATGCTGGGAAATGTAGTGCGTTCACCGCGCTACTTGTTAATGTGCGGGGGCTACAGGACTACGTATCCCAGCTTGCATCTGGCGGGGGGCGGAGCCTACTTCTGAGTGGAAGGGGAGGCTGATGTCTCCGATTCTGCCCTGCTCCACACTGTAAAGTGTGCGGAGAGATGTGAAGGGTGGAGTGGGTACTGGGAGTTAAAAGGGGGTGACCACTGCCACATGCAGCTGTCCTTCGCCCTGATTCGGGGTGGATCTCGTGGTTGTTCCCTACCATCGCGTTCCTCAGCCTATGGATCCTCTCTCTCATCTGTCTCCCAGTGCCTCTTTCCAGAGTTGCATGCAACCCGGCTGCGTGCCTTTCTAAACTTCTGTGGGAGCAGGCTTTATATTTCTTAACTCCAAATAAACCCAGTCTTAGGATGATTTGAGACTTTAAATTGATCGCCTGATTGATTTCTCAGAGACTTTTAAGAGGCGACCTCAGTCTTCCAGAACAGATTGGTGGCCAGTCGTTGGGAGAGGAACTTTCAAGACGAGGACGCTGGAGAACTTTTTAAACTCTTAAATTTTAACATCTCCGCTTTAGTTGGAAAGCTTGTAACAGCTTTTAGGGTTGAATACCGTGACTCTTTCGATCTAATTTGCTGCATTTCAGATGTAGACAACAGAAACTTGAAACCCTTCTGCTTCCTAGTAGCCTGTTTACTGGAGCATAAATTCCTTATGCTCCCAGGAACAGTTCTTTTCATTCCAGGATAATATCAAGGTCAACAAATCTAGGAATATATAGTAGTGCTTTTATTTCCTTGAAATTAAAGTAATGAAAGGGAACAGGACATAAGATACATTGCTAAGTTGTAAAAAATAAAATGCAAGCAAGACTCTTTCATATAAATGTTTCTGTGCATGCAAAAGTGAAAAACTTGAATTGTCAATTTTCTTTACTGGGGATTGGTAGGTTAAGAGATGTGTTGCTGGGCCGGGGATTTAGTTTTAATGGCATAAGCGCTTGCCCAGGCAAGGGTGAGGTCGTGAGTTCAATCCCCAGTATCAAAAAAAAAAGAAAGAGATGTGTTGCCTATGTTGCATGTTCCAGTGAATTCTGTGGTCCCATAGTGAGCATCTGTCATGATTCTTCACTCCTAAAAACCTGGGGCTACTCTTAGTGAAATAAGATCTTGTTTGCACTAAACACCCCAACAGGTTTCTTTCCTAATTCCTGAATGTGGGTTACTATCAAAAGAACTGAAAAACCTCGTCATGGAAATGGGACCCTATTACTTCGTGAAAAACTTACCACTTCATGAATTAATCACACCTGAATTCATCAACACCTTTGTGAAAAAAGGTAAGAAGACCACACAGTGCCTGTGAATAAGGCAGGGGGAGAAAGTTTGGGGAGACCACAGCAGGATGCTGGGGTATTTGTCATTTTAAATGGCCCATGGGGATAGTCCCAGTGGTCAGTGCATGCACCACTCGCCCATCCTTCAGTACCTCATCCCACTCTTTCCTGTGTCCTGTGTAGTTGGTGGTTTCTGATGACACCTGTCCCCAAGTCTTGGGTGGGGATGTTGTAACATAAAGGTATCTGTCATCTTAAAGCAGGATTACTAGAGAGAAAAGTCCTACCATCTGGGTCAGGATGTGCTGTTGGTGGTGGTGTTGCTGCAGACACCTCTATCGCCTCCCCCACCCCAGACAGTGGGGAGCTTGGTCTCCTGGGTTGGACGGTTGGTCTTCTGATGCAGCCACAGCTGCTACCCATAGGGCCAGGTGCTCCTTTTGGTTCAGTGTCATCATCTTAGATTTTTGTGTCCCTGTCCCTCTGCTGCTTGGCACATTCCTAGATGTGTTGCTGTATTGATTGGTTTGTGTTTTGTTCCACTGTTTCCTGCAGCCACTTGCTGGAATTTATATTGCAAAGTGTCCTTGCGGTTTCCACCCTCACCTCCTAAGTCACACTGTCCATGGGCCTCGGGCTTAACTTCCGGTAGCCTCACATTTGTTTCTCCAGGTGACCTGGGAAGAATCCTAGTTACTTGTCGCACCTCTCATTCTGAGGCTCCTAAGGCTGGTTATGAAATTAAAGATCTTCACTTGTTTTCTTAAACATTCTTGTCCTCTGCTTTGAAATTGGATACTATTTTGGTCATGGCATGGACACATTTTGTAGCCGGCATTTTGACTATCTCACCAGATTTAACCCATACAATGGCTGTGAAGTAAGCCTGTGATCTCCATTTAGTGAATGAGGAAAGACTGAGTATTTTGAATATTAGCTAGTTGAGTCACTTGTGAGTATGAACCTACAGCTCTGCCATGAGGTGTACACGCTTACGTGGTATTCTACTTTGTGCCCTTCTGCCAGCATCTCTGAAGGTGGCAGACGTTCCGTTGTGATTTGGTTTCTGCCTGATGATAGTAAACTTCCCCAAAGAGGACTTTAATAAGGGAGGGAGCTACGTGGGCCTTCTACATGCTGCAGCTTAACCATGGCCTGGGTTAGGGTTACTGAGTGAGCTGGAGCCTTGGGAGGTGCCGTTCCCTACTGGAAAGTTTGGTTGTTACGTGAAAACAATGCACTGACATTTTGTATGTGTACTTTTTTGGGCTTAATTTGTCCTCTGAACTTTCTGTTCTAGGTTCATGCTATGCACTGACATACAATACCAATATTGACGAAGATAACGCTGTTGCACTACTACCAAATGGTAACATGGATTTTTTTCCTTTATTTTTTAAATACAAAAGAAATGCATACTATAAAAACAGTCACATCATCCAGATCTATATAAAGTGAAGGCCCTTTATCTCTGCAAACTCATTCTCGTTCTTGGAAGGAACAGTTTGAGGTATCTTGTTTGTATATTCTCTGAATTTATAAATACGTATTGTTTTTAACATAACTTTTGTCCTACTAATAGTTTCTCAGTATTCTTTCTTCCCCGCACTGCATATCATAGACATGTTTTCCTGTCAGTATGTCTGAGTCACTCTTTTGGCTCTGAGACACAGTACCCAACACCCATAAATTAAAGGAAAAGAACTGTATTTTAGCACAGGGTTACAGTCCGTTTTCAGCTGGTTCAAAAACAAGGCGGAAGGGCCAGATAGGGGCAAACTGCTCAAGTCATGGTGGCCAGGAAGCAGAGGAGAGAGGAGCTGGGGAGGGAGAAAACCCTCCCGGGTCACATCTCTAGTGACCTGTCTCTTCCCACCAGACCCCGCCTCCTAACATCAAATTCAGCTGTGGCTCCCCGTGATACAGTCATCTGCCAAAAGCCCTGAGCACATAAGTTTTGGGGGACACTGATCTAAACCACAAAACAGTGCAAATAGTGCTAATTTCCAATTGTTAATGTCTTAAAGATGCTTGGAATATATCATATTTGTGTAACTGTTTCTTCCTTAGTAGAAATTTAGGCTGTGTTTAGTTCTATTTATAATATTCAAGTATTATGCAGTTTATTTCATATGTCTTAATTCTTTGATTGCCTTGCATTCTTAAACAATATATGTCATGTTTTTAGCATCTCTTTAGTGGAAATTATTTGATTAATTGTAGGGAAACTAATTTTATCACTGGATAAAGACACTTACGAAGAAACTGGACTTCAGGGTCGTCCATCTCAGTATTCTGGCAGGAGAATTATGAAATTTAGTAAGTATCATGTAGCTTCCTTAGTATCTTCAATCCACTAATCTTTGTGTTGCTATTTAGATTTATATGTTGGAATTACCTCTAATCTCTGTTCAGAAAAATACAATTCTTTTTTGCCTTTAAAACTTTTGACTCGGCTTGGTGTGGTGGCTCATGCCTGTAATCCCAGCACTTGGGAAGCTGAGGCAGGAAGATGGTTGCGAGTTCAAGACCAGCCTGGGCTACAAAGTGAACTCAAGGTCAGCCTGAACTGCATAGAGAGACCCTGTCTCAAAAAAAAAACTTTTGACTCAAAAGAGTTATTGGTTAGGCTTCATAGAAAATAGATTATGTTGCTAACTGTGTTTTTCTCTTTGCCTCAAGCAACATTATATAAAGATGAATGAATTAGAAAGTCCATTCGAGGGCCAGGAATTTAGCTCAGTGCATAAGTGCCTGCCTGGCAGGTGCAAGGTCATAAGTTCTATCCCTGGTACCAAAAAAAAAAAGTCCATTCAATACACGTTTTGGGTCAAAAATTCCAAGTAACAAATCCAAAAGAGCAGTCAACAGCTTGTTCTTTCTCAATAATTTCTTTTAATTTCCCCAAGTCTTTATGATTAGTGGTAGAAATTTGCGCATGAGCAAAGCAGCATACTTCTGGCAGCTGTATCTGATGTGGGCATCAGTTGTTAAGACTTCCACGTTCCAGGGTAGACAGGAGTTGAACTCCTGAGGACTTCAGCCCTGGGTCATTTTAAAAAATTAATCAATTAATCTATATGTCTGTCTGTCTGGGTATTGGCGATCAAACCCAGGGACTTTACCACCAAGTTACATCCCCAGCCCTTTTTATTTTTTATTTCGAGGTAGTCTAAGTTGTTTAGGCTGGCCCTGAACTTGTGATCCTTCTGTGTAAGCCTCTCAAGTAGCTAGGGTTGAAGATATGTCTTAAGTCTTTGACCTAGGAAAGTGTGAATTTAAAATATTTGCTAGTACTAGTTTTTAATGCTAAAAATGCTACTGAAGGAATAGTTTTGATTTGGTCAATAATAGAGAAAAAAGAACTAAGTAATGTTTATTATAATATCCAAAAATTCTGACTTCTTTAACATAGCATTTTTTCCACAGTGCAAGCGTGTATATTTGAATGAAATATGTATTGCTTTTTCCATTTTTTTAAAGTTATTTCCATTGATTTGATGGATTTGTCTTTTAACCTGGATTCCAAGAAGTATGAAAGAATCTCTTGGTGCTTGAAAGAAAAAAAGCCGTTGAAATTTGATTTTCTTTTGGCTTGGCATCAGACAGGTATGAAGAATAAATTGTTTGTCGATCCATTTGTAATTGACACACTGATTATTTTAGAAGTGGTATTTTTGGCCAATGTCATGATTATAATGGATGAAATCATTAGGAATTATGATGGTCTCCTGTGTAGGATAGGGAAACATATAGGTCTGTGTTTTGGTCCCTGTCTCATTGCTGGGATGCAATACCCAACACCCACAGAAAGGAGGAGAAGCAGAGAGAAAATGGAAGACTCAGGGAGAAAGATACACCTTTCCAGCCATGCTGCCAGTGACTGCCCTGTGACTAGGTTCCTCCTCCCAGGAGGACACTCGGCTACTGAACTCTTAGTGGGCCTGGGATTCAGCCATCTAGCAGAAGTTCCACCTCTGAGCAAATGAGGCTTTGGGAGACATCCTCAATCTGAACCACAACAAACTTGTGGAAATACACCAGTCCATCTGGCTGCTGGTGTCCATTTACTTCCAGGAGTCTAAGGGTGCTTCTTCTGCCTGTGGTAGATACAAGAGATGACAAAGAGATTTATTGAAGTTTCAATCACTTGAAGTCTTACATGCGGACATCTATCAGTGGGTTCTGGATAGTTTTCTCTTCTTGGCTCTCCTGATTATTACTTTCAGCATTTTTCAGAAACTAAAAAATCCAGGATGTTTTCCCTCTACTTGAGGTTAACACAGTAGTTTGCAAAAGCCTCACTCAGATGCTGGTGGAACACGTAGAACCCCAAGGTCAGAGACAAAGGACTTAACTCCTCACAGAAATAGCAGGCAGCACGGGAGGGTTCTGCAAAGAGACAGAACCAAGAGATGGTTGAGTGGCTGGCTGGCTGGCTGGCTGGCTGGGGACTTGTTAGAGGAGATGGCTCACACAGTTGTGGAGGCTGGGAAGTCCCATGGTAAGCCATCTGCAAGCTGGAGAACAAGGGCCGTCAGTCCCTGTCGGAAAGCCTTAGAACCAGCAAGCCAGTGGCCAAGGCCAAAAGCCTAAGAACCTGGGGACCATTGTGCAAGCCATAGTCCCGAGGCCAAAGAACCTGCAGGTGTGATGTCCGGAGCAAGAGAAGCTGCTGGCCCAGCGCCGTGCTGTGAATTAGCCTCTCCTCTGCCTGTTTGCTCCCTCTGGGCCCACAGCCAGCTGGATGGTGCTCTTCTGCATTGAGAGCTCCTTTCTTCCTTGGTTCATTGACCCATGTGCCAGTCTCCTCGGAGAATCTCCTTCCTAGAAATAATGCTTTACCCCCTCTGTAGTTACCCCTCAGTCCAGCCACATTGGTGTCTAAAATTGGCCACCGCGTAGAGAACCAGCATTTGCACCAGTTCACCTCATTGCAGACCCCAGAGAGTGACACAGATTAGGTCCAGTGATGCGGAGACAGCAGTGGGTCCCGTCGCAGGCGAGGAGCCTGGGGCTTCAGGAGCTCGAGCAGGAAGCTGGCTGACCTGCTTAGGCACGGAGGGAGACATGATTTCTGTTACGCTGAGCAGAAAGCAAGCCTGCTTGCCCTTTGTGCAGGAGGGACCCTGTTTCTGCCTTCCAGGACCCTCAGCTGCACAGACATCTCTGAAAAGACCACTTGGTTTTACTGAGTTTTCTAAAGCAGGCTTGAGTGAGATTCTATCATCATTCCATTCTGCTTAGGTTTCCTCAGCAGAGGTTTGCAAACATGCCTCTCCCTCGGTGGCATCCATTAGTGTCATTCATACTTTGGGTTTTATATGTAAGGATGAAATTTTCTTAGAGCAAATAAAACTGATAGGGGCCCGATCTGAAAGCATTGCATTTCTAGAAAAAGTGTGAGGACAGAAGTTCCTGGAACTCTGGCACTAGGAGCTGAAAGTAATTTTCAATGACTTTTAAATGAGTCTGAATCCAGCTTTACATAGCTTCCCTTGTACTTCATCCTCCTAACTCCTCCTGACTCTCAAAGGGGACCGGGGAGGTCCGGGGGGACTCACGGAACTTGCTTACGTTTTGCACCTCCTTTTATGTGGTGTGCTTTAAGGTGCAGAAGAATCCACGATGATGGAGTACTTCTCCAAATACCAGATTCAAGAGCGGCAGCCCAAAGTGGCGATGAGCACACTGAGAAGCCTGCAGTGCCCCGTGCTGCAGAGCAGTGCGCTCCGGGGAGAGCCAGAAGCGTCCTGCGGCGGCCCGGAGCTCTTCGACTGGCTTGGCGCTGTCTTCTGTGACGTGGACCTGTGGGTATCCGGGGCTCTGGCTGGTTGTGTGGTTCCAGCTGGGTTTTTTAATACTTCACATGTGATCATGTCGTGACTGTAAATATCTTTTCCTTTTTCTCTTTTTGCAACAGAAATAATGAGCCTAATAGTTTCATATCAACCTATTGCTGTCCCCAGCCAAGCACAGTGGTGGCAAAAGCCTTTTTGTGTACCGTCACTGGCTTCATACTTCCGGAGAAGATCCATGTTCTCCTGGAACAGTTGTGGTGAGAGCCTCTCTCTGTCTTCCGCACAGCTGGTGGGTGCCACAGTGCCGTGTTCCCGCAGCAGGGCCCTTCCGTGTAGTTCCCGTGTTTATCCTTGCTCGGGCTCACAGTATGGTAATGTCATCAGCAGTGGTGTAATTATCCTGCCTGGTAGTTCCCTGGTACTTCTCCTTATGAAAAGATAAAGCCGAGTTCATTATTGCTTCTTGTACACAAACTGCTCATTTTCCTGGCTCTGCTCCCCTGGGTCATTTTGGGTGCAGAACTGTAATATCACTTAAAACCACAGCAGCATTCTGTGGGACAAATTAGGGTCTCTTCTAGGTACTGTAAAACCTTTCATTCTGACATAGAGTGGGAAAGAGTTGATCATCTCTGAATCCACATCATATCTGAGTTAGGTCCCAGCACTGAAATTCTGTGAATCACTGGGCATTAATAAACTGCCAGGTATTGTATAGAACAATTCAGGCTTTTTGCTGAGGGATGTACTGAATAAATCCAATGTTTACATTGTGTGTAAGGTGGACATTTAAGTCTCCCATTGAAAAGGCCAAATTGGGTGTAACTATTTGATAAGCATGCGGTCACATTCTTTTTTTTTTGAAGTTTCTGTAGCTTAAGTCTGCAGGGTCTTTCTTCTGAACCCTAACATCCTTTTTCACATTTATTGATTCTGCTCTTAGATTTCTTTTTCCACTTTGATTCTCTAAACTCAGGCCAGCTTTATAAATTTCCGAAGGACCTATTCTGCATTGTTTCAATGAACAGAGACATAGAATAGGGCTATTAATGGGAGGGAAACTGTCCTTACACACTTCCCGGAGCAGTTTTGTTTTTGGTTGTTTTAACCTTACATAGTCTTCCAGAATAAGAACGGACACCACTGTTTGTGTGGTGTCTATTAATTAATCATGGAATTTATGAAAGTATCAACATTTGCATCTTCTAATGTTTATAAATTAAAGCAAAAATTTAACCTTCATTGCTGTATGACAGACACCACTTAGCATGAACAGTGTGTTTTTATAAGGGCTTTTCTCACGTCCTCATTTGTTAAGAGTGATTTTTCTTTTTCAGCCACTACTTTGATGAGCCGAAGTTAGCTCCGTGGGTTACACTGTCAGTGCAAGGCTTTGCAGACAGCCCCGTTTCCTGGAGAGAAAATGAACATGGTTTCTGGAAAGGAGGGGAGCATCTGTACAACTTTGTGATTTTTAATAACCTGGACTACTGGCTTCAGATGGCTGTTGGGGCAAATGATGACTGCCCGCCATAAAAAGTACAAAATTTAAAGTCTCGTTTGTGTACACCGATGCTTATTTTCACATTTCTCGGTTATGAAAGGGCCGTGTGTTCACTCAGGCTTCTGTAATGATGCTTCTCAGCAGCTCCCACCAGCCCCGTCTTCTGCTGGGCAGAGCCTAGTCATGGCAGGAGGGCTGGCCGCCCAGTGATAGCACATAGTTGGTTTCTGGTTTCTCACTGTCAGAGTAAACACAAATGTGGCCTTCCACGCAGCAGAGCGAGCTGGGTGGACATGGACCACTGGGCGAGGTGTGTGCTGTGTGCTGTTACTCATTACGTTTTCAGCTAATGAACAGAAATCCTCAGGTCAGCCTTACCAGGCCAGTCACTGTGGTAAATGCGCCACAGAAACTGAGGCACAAAGTACGTTAGCTACCAAGGTCGTACCGCTAGTAGATCTGAGATTTGGTCTCAGGCCAGCCTGATCTTAAGTGTGTGTTCTCTCTGTTACCAATGGATGGGGGAAGGACCTAGGTATACTCTGTTAAAGAACAAGTAGAATTTTGGCTGGTACGGACATTCTAGAATGTGAAGAGCCATTTTGTAAAACTTAGTTGACCTGCAAAATAATAGTTCTGGAAGGCAGTGTTTTATTTTTTTGTGTTTTGTTTGTGTTTTTGTTTCAATGCTGAGAAATCAAACTCCCTGGCCTCCTGGTGCGAGACAAGGCCTCCTATGATGACCCATGTTCCCAGTCCTCAGAAACACTTTTTAAAAAATTTTATTTAAAGATTTAAAAAAAGCAAAACAGAAAAAGGGTAGCAACAATACAGAATTCCAAAAAGAAAAAAAAAATACTAAGAAATCACTAGTTGATAAATTACATATTGTCATCTTAGAAATAGTTGTTCAAGTTACAAAATTAAAGCATACAGAGTGGACATTGAAACAGTGAGACTGCAAACAGTTCTGTTCAATGATCCAACAAAATCTTAGTAACATGATCATCTATCTTACACACTTAAACATACATGCAGTTATATCCTTTAGAGCACTTGTTTTTCCTCTCTTTTTTACAATAGAATTACATATTTTGGGTTTTATTACTCCTACAGTTCTTATTTTTACACTAAAGACACAATGTGATACTTATAAATATGATTCTTATTTATTTCACTTAGGATAATCTCAAGTTGCCTCCATTTCAATACGAAGGCCTCAAGATCATCCTTTTTTAGCTGAGTAATAGTCTGTTGTATAAAAAATCTTTTTCATCTAGTCTGCAGTTGATGGGAATTTTGATTGTTTCCAAGATTTAGCTCTTACAAATTGTGCTGCTATGAACCTGGGTGCACATGTATCACTGTGATATGACCTTTTCAGGTTTTCTAGGAAAATACCCAGGAGGGGAATAGCTGAGTTGAATGGAACTTCCAGTCCTAGTCATCTGGGAATTTGCCATACTGATTTCCATAATGGCTGCACCAGTCTACACCCCACCAACAGTGGAGCAGTGCTGCTTTTTCCCTGCAGCCTCGCCAACATTTGTTATTAGTTGATTTCTTGATGGCAGCTCTTCTTTCTGGAGTGAGATGAAATCTCAATGCTGTTTTAATTTGGATTTCTCAAATGACCAGTGATGGTGAGCATTTCTTCATGTATATTTGCCATTTGTATATCTTCATCTGAGAACTGTATATTCTTCTCAGATGCTCATTTTTGGAGAGGGTCTTTGAATTTGGGGGACTTCATGTTTTTCAGTTCTTTATATGTTCTGGATATAGAAGTCCTTTGAGGGATTGTTGGCTATAATTCTTTCCCATCCTGTGGGTTTTCTTTTCACTCTGTTGGTGATTTCTTTTGAAGTGCAGAAATTTTTCAATAACATGAGATCCCAGTTGTTGATTCTTTGAAGTGTTTCCCATGCAGTTTGCGTTTTTTCCATGAATTCTCTGCCTACCCCTATGTCTCCAAGACTTCTACCTACCTTGTCTTCCACTAAATTTAAATTTGTTTCTGTTTTAATGTTTAGATCTTTGATCCATTTAGACTTTAGTTTTGTGCATGGTGTTAGGCATGGGTTTAGTTTGTCTTCAGCACATGGAAAGCCAGTTTTTCCCACACTGTTTATTAAAGAGGCTATCCTTATTCCAGTGAACATATTTAGCCCCTTTGCCAAATATAATGTGACTGAGTGTCTTTGTAGTTGTGTTTGCATCTTCTAATCTGTTCCACTGATCCTCAGGTCTATTTCTTTGCCAGTACCATGCTGATCTTATCACTGTGGCTTTGTAGTATAGTTTCCAGTCAGAAATTGAGATGCCTCCTGCCTTGCCTTTGTTGCCTAGAATTACCTTTGCTAGGTCTCTTCTGTTTCCAAATGAATTTTAGAAGTGTTTTCTCTAGATCTGTGAGATATGTCAATGGTATTTTGATTGGGATTGCAATAAATCTGTGTAACAGTTTTGGGAGTATGGCCATTTTCACAATGTTGGTTCTTCCTAGCTAAGAGCAAGAAATATCCTTCCATTTTCTAATATCCTCTTCAATCTCCTTTTTTAGTGTAGCATAATTTTCAGCATATAGGTCTTTACATTCTTGGTTAGGTTGATTCCTAAGTATTTGATTTTTTTAGATGATATTGTGAAAGGCGATATTTCCATAATTTCTCTCTCACTAAGTTTTTTTGTTTGTGTACAGGAAGGAATGCTATTGATTTTTTAAAAATTTTATTTAAAGAAAGACAAAAAAAACAGAAAATGAATAGAAATAATACATACTTTCAAAGAAAAAATAAACTAATAAATCACTTGTTGATGTTTACATATTGTCCTCTTAAAAATAGTTGTTCAAGATACAAAAGTGGAACATATAAATGGGAATTCAAACAGCGAGACTGCAAATAATTCTGTTCAACTATCTAATAAAAACTTAGTAATATGATTATGAATCCTATACTCTTAAACATACACGCATTTATCCATATCTTCATTTATGTTGAGATTAAACAAACCAAAGCAGACTAAAATCGCTCTGAACAAAGATTAATAGTATTGCTGGATTTCACATCATAACACTCCAGAATCAGCACTGGGTATTGCAGTTCCTTTTTTTCCTTCAAAGTATTTGTTCATCATATGTCAAAGATCACTTCTCATAAACTGTTTATAGGTTTTATGCAAGCATGAGTCTTAACATGTATTTCTATCCTTTTTATATTAGAGGGAGAAACAGAACAAAGCAGGACAGAACTAAACACATAAAACTAGAAAAAGACATATAAAACTGCTGTATAAGGAGTTCTATCATGGTTACTGTGTTGTCTCTTGTTATCAATAGAATTGTATATATCATCAGATATAGTAGAGTTGAATATATCAGTACATAACAGTATTAATAGAAATACAACTTTGTAGATAGTGTAGAACTACAAAAACAGGTAGTAATCAAACCAGAATGGGTATCTTAGGGAACCATTGTCATTTGCAGTATAGTTGTCTATACTTTCAAACTTGATACTGTCAACCTTAATAGTTTTGAAAAAAATCTGTCAATAACAGCCATCAAACAAATCAGATTTAACTAAGATCAGTCATGCTATAACAGTATAAGTTATACAGGGATCCAGGTTAAGTTAATACAAAATTAAAGATGATTACTGTGCTATGTCCTGATATTTTGGGGATAGCTGTGTCCTCAGATCTTGTGCTTATATACAAACTGGAACAGAATAAGTTCTATCTAAGCAGAGTAGTGCAAGTAATACGGGTTTTAATTCCTGGTACACTATTAGCAATATCTTCTGTTGTCTTTAAGACTCTCCCTCCCCTTTCACTCCAGGATATACTGTGCATTTTTGGATCTCCCCAACACCCTTGGTTTTATATTAGGGGGAAGTCTGCTATTTACATAAGTGGTTCTGAACCTTCTCACTCCTGGACTTGATCTCTAGTTATATTTCTTTACCTATTAAAGCCTGTCTTTCCAACCTATCCGTAAATACTGGTCCAGTTGCCCCTATTACTCTACAGTTCCCTATTACATACAGTACTGTTTTCTCATATTTGATTTTCGGTCCATATACCTTCTTCAGGTAATTATATTTCCTCTAAAGAGCATCTGGTGGACCCTACCTCTTGATCCACTCTGCCTGCGATTCTCTCTCTTTTTTCCTTAGTTATAGTGTATTTAGGCCATCTATATTATAAATTATATCCAACCTTCTCTGCCTCATTTCTGCTGTGCTCTTTTTCTGTCATTAGTTGTCTGTTTGTCTTCTTCATTTTGCTTTCTGCTCCATTCACTGAGGCCTCTCTGCCACTGTTCCTGAAATCCTAGTTCTTTTCTTTCTCTTTAGAATGTCCTGCAGTATTCTCTGTAGAGTTGGATTGGTGGTTGTGAATTCCCCCAGTTCCTCTTTATCTTGGAAGCATCTTGTTTCTCCATTAATTTCTAGAGACAGTTTTTCAGGGTGTATCAATCTGGGCTGGAGGTTATTTTCTTTCAGGGCTTGGAATACTTTGCTTCACACTCTTCTTGATTTGATGGTTTGTGCCGAGAAGTCTGCTGTAATTCTGATGGGCTTTCCCTTGTAAGTAATCTGTTTCTTGTCTCTGACAGCTTTAAATGTTCTGTTCTTATATTGGATTTCTGGGATCTTGATTATTATATGTCTGGTTGTACTTCTGTTTTGGTTGTAGGTGGCTGGAGTTCTGTATGCCTCATACATCTGAATATCATTTCCTTTTCCTATGATTGGGAAGTTTTCCTTAATTATACCTGTGAATAGCCTTTGTAGTTCCTTTGTTTGTAACCCTGCTTCTTCATTCACATTCTTTATTCTTAAGTTTTATATCCTCTTGTCATCTTCCAGCCTTTATATTGTTACTGCTTGTTTCCTTGTTATTTTTAAGAAATTTTTCCTTTCATGATCCCTGTCCTGCAATTACAAACCTGTCCTCCAGTTTGAATAATCTATCCTTAGTTTCTTTCAAGCAGTTTTGCCAGATTTCAAAGTAGTTTTTAATTTCCGGGTAATCTCTTTGAAC